CCTGCTCGTATTCACCTCTGGGTGGGGGGGGTCCACGACCCTCGCGCGATACCGCCACACGCGTGGCCACACGTACAGACGCATATCTGTGAGTTCTATACTGCATGTTTACACGTGCACTGTCAGTGTCACGCGAACGTGATCATAAATGCCACAGGCTCCTGCCAGCGACTCTGCGATTCCTGCGCACGCAGGGTGCTGTAGGGATTTTTTGTTTTTGTTTTTTGCCGAGTGCTGGACACGCAGGGGAAGAGGAAGGAGAGCCCACGCAGGGCAAGGAGTGACATAGGGTGACCCACTGGCGGGGCAGCGCCGAGCCCCCTGGGCGGGAACGAGGAAATCCGCGGAGCAGCTCCGGGGGATTCAGGTCACTTGGACCCCAGATTTACTCAGACAGAAAAGTTGTTATTTTCTTTCTGCAGACCGTATTTCCCCCGATATCCATCGGTGATTTACTTTCCCTTCAGACTAACACGAATCTCTTAAAAAAAAAAAATCGTTCGTCCGACTCCAAAAAAAAGTGCGAGTACATTTCCCTATGATCCATAACCACCCCAAGGATTTTAAAGAGCCTTTTCCCGGGATCATTTTTTTAAAGTTAACCTACTTTAGGCAGTGCCCGCATTTTTGCGTAGGAGGTCTCTCTCTAAAAATAAAAACAAAGTAATTATTCCGATCTTTCTCTTCCAGAGCAGAGGAGAGAGTTTTCAAGGGAAGTACACTCAGAGTCTCAGGAGAACTACATCGCTCATCTCCGCACTCGAGAAATAGGGAGCGAACTGCTGTATAGTTCAGATTCCTTTTCTGTGTCGGACACCGTCGTGGAAAGAGGGTGGGTGGGTTTCAGGTCTTTTCTTCTTGTTGTTTTTTTTTTCCTTTTGTTTTGTCTTGTTTTTGACTCCCTTCGCCCCTCGGTGTGTGTTTCCCACCGTAATCCATAGGGCATTTGGCGGGTGCTACCAGCAGTTCCCAACGAGTTGCACGAAAGGAATAAAAATCTTTCCATCCATTATATTTCAGTCTTTTAACACCAGAGCAATTCTGTCCCTGCTGTTTTAGTGGAAATACCGGTCTATAAAGCTGCAACTGCAGTATATTTTAAAATGCTACCAATTTTTTTTTTAAAGGGGGATTGGAATAATTCTGCTTTGCTTGGGAAGGAAAAAGTCTCGAGCCCTGTATGTGCGATTAATGTTTTATAACACTGTTCAAGGAAATTAAAAACATTCTGTGATAGTCTTACTGTAAAGGCAGGTCTTTTTTGGCAAAATGTTCTGTATATGTATTTCTAAGATTGCTGTGTTTTGAATAAGCAAGATTCTCGTAAAGAAAAAAAAAACATGCTCCTTAAAAGTATGCGCTACCCGTTTTATTAAACTGATTATGCCAGCGTTCAACTCAAAGTTTGTTTTAAGTAGGAATATTTTCCCAGACGTGTAATGGATTGCTTGAAAACAGAATTCTTTGCTTTTTAATGACCTGTAATGGCCAATTCATTTCTACTGCGCTTATCAAGGTGCTGTGTTAAATAACAAACCGGTTCTTGAAAACAAAAAAGTCATAATGAAAAATAAGCAGTCAGAATAATCTCCCATCTCCGAGCCAAAAAAATGCAATAAAATTAATTTAAGACTGTCAAAACATCAAAGCTGAGAAAAGGAGCTGCTGAAATAATGTCTCTTGATAAGGAAATAATAAAAACACACCAAAAAATGTCTACTCAATAAACTCCACTGGATTTGGGGGTCTGTGCTATATTTTATTTGGTGATGAAAGCACTTTGATGTCACTGTATTCCAAACAATTATTATTATAATTTTAAACAACCTGGTGTTTTCCATTACTAACGGCTTACGCTTTGAAGTTACACCTCATAATTTCTTAAATTAAATAAATCATTTTAAGTTTGCACTGGGAGCCTTTTAATAGCAGAGAAAGGAATATCATTATCTTATTGAGAGGCAATTGCAGTGGCTCCAGTTTGGCTGTA